TTTAAACGGTAGTAGGTTTCTTATTTGTTAAAGGGCCATTTTCTGCCATGGTAGCTCTAATTTGAGGATCAGTCTCAGAATCCACTTTGTCTGGAGAGCTTTGTATTCTGTTGCGGGGTCAATGAGGCTGAGCCCTCCTTCCTCTGCTGGATTGGTTACGTATTTCCAAGCGACCTTGGATATGAATTGGTTCTTGGATGCGTCCCCTGTCCATAAGTAAGCTGTTGCTTTTTTCCTAAGGTCCTTCGTGAAAGTTGTGGGTGGGTCCCAAACTGACGCTGTGTACCAGACCATGGAGAAAATTGACGAGTTAATGACTAGTGCTCTTCCCGCCAGAGAGGTGTATATCTTTTGCCATCCCAAGTACTTGTTCATGACGGCTGCCAGCAGGTTCGTTGCTATTGAGTTACTGATCCCTGTCATGGTTACCGATATTCCAAGGAATTTAAAGGGGGTTTGGCGATCCAACCATTGCAACCCCTGTGTTGCTTCGGTGTCTGGTGGGGGGGGGGTCTCCGCGTGTCACCACCCTACCGTTTTCTTCCAATTTATCTTCATTTCTGATGCTAATTGGAAAGCTTGCATGGCTCTCGTCAGTGCTTGAAATGAGGAGTCTGTCGCTCTTATAAGCACCGTTAGGTCATCCACGAACAGCATCGCTGTTGGGAGTTGGAATTGGTCGTTTCTTCCATCATCCCGGGCTTGTAGTCTTTCTATTGAGGGGTCCTTCCTCAGGAAGGCTGCTATTGCCTCCATGACGAAAAGGAATATTGGGGCAGCCAGTGGGTCGCCTTGTCTTACCGACCTCGTCATTCTGTATGATTCTGATAGGTGACCATTAACTTGGACCCTCCCCATTGCCTCTGCATACAAAACCTTCACCCACTTTCTGAAAATTGGTCCCACGATCACGGCTTCTAGTTTCTTGTCCCTTATTAATTTGTTTGCCTCGTTCAGACAGATTACACTGTCCAGGATGAATCTCCCTGGGATGAATCCTGTTTGGTCCATATGAAAGCATTTGTCGGTTACTTCTTTGATTCTGTTGGCTAGGATCTTTGCTAAGATTTTGTATTCTACTGACAGCAAAGAGATTGGTCTATAGTTTCTGATGTCCTCTCTTTCCCCTTTTTTGTAGAGTAGCGTTACAATCCCGGTGCTAATGTCCTGTCCTAATCCCCCCTTCTTGTAGGCTTCCTGATAAAAGCGCAAGAGGTCACTTCCTAGGAGTGGCCAATGTTCTTGCCAGAATTCCTTCGTTAGCCCATCTATGCCTGGGACCTTGTTGGGTTGCATGGAACCCAGTGCTCTATGCACTTCTGCTAGAGCGAGGTCTTTGTCTAAGTAAGCTGTTGCCTCCGGTTTGATACAGGTCTCAAGGTGCCTCAGGAGCTTTTCCCTCGCTCTCACAATAGTTCCTCTGTTGTCGTTGGTTGACTGTGATGTATATAGTTTCTTGTAGAAATTTGTGGCTATTTGTAGCAGGTTTTTCCGATTAGTATCCCCCTTTCATCTCTCAGCTCAAGAATTCTGTTGTTTCCCCAGTTGGATTTGATTCTTTGGAAAAATAATTTCGTCATGGATTCATTACACTCCCAATCCTTTATCCTAGCTCTGATGCTCAGGCCCCTTCTCTTCCAATCTGCCCATTGTGCCAACTCTTCCTTTGCTGCTGAGAGTAGGGATTTGTACATTGGGGAGCCTGGGTTGTGGATCAAGTTATATTCGGCTGTCTCCACTATGGATTCTAGGAGTTCTTGCCTTTCCCCTCTTCTTTTGGCTTCCCTTCTTGATTCCTTGCTTAGTTCTTTACTTACGTATTTTAGGGTTTTTCCGAAGTTTGGGTGTATGCTTTCCTCTTGTTTCTGCAGGGAACATTCTTCCCATGATTGCTTGACTACTTTTCTAAAACTTTCCAATTTTAATAAAGAGTCGTTGATCTTGGAGAAACCTCGACCTGATTCATTGTCTACGCCAAAATTCAGTATCAAGCCTATCTGTTTGTGATCAAAGCCTCCGAAAAAGGGAGGTCTGAATACAGTGGTGGGTAGTACAGCTCCAGAAACTGATTCTGAGATCAAAAAGTAGTCAATTCTGGAAAAGGATGTTCTTCCCTGTTGAGTTTTCCTAGTGCAAGTGAATCTCTTAGTTTCCGGATGTCTTCCCCTCGAAGGGGTCTATTAGCTTCTTCTCTGTGATAAGATCTATCATTGTATGGGTGTCTGATTCGTCGTACGGTTCTCTAGCGTGGGAAATCCTGTTGAGAAGCGGGTTCACCGTAGCATTCCAGTCCGTGGCTGCTATGATATGCTGGTGATTCGGGTATTCTTGCTTGATTATTTCTATTAATTCCTTTCTTTGGGCGCTCGTGTTTGGAGCGTATATATTTAGTAGTGTTATTTCCTCCTGCATATAGTTGAAATCCATCCTTATCCATCTGCCCCCTACGAGGTCCTTGGTCACTTGGCTTACTTGTAGGTGGTGTAATGCTTTGGATTTTCCGTTAAGGAGGATTAGTACACCTGCCGAGGCTGAATTGGGGATGCTTACCCATTCAGCTCTCCATACGTGTCTCAGCCTTCTCTCTATTTCGTGCTGTGTGGCTTGGTGCTCATCAGAGTCAGTGAGGTGTGTTTCCTGAATGCAGACTATATCTGGAGGGTCATTGTCAAACCATTTAAGGTTAGCTGTCAAGCTGAACCATTTCGCTGGGGATGACAAAACGGTGGCCAAGCCGTGCACATTCCAAGATCTTATGTCCAGTTCCACTCTTTTCTTTACCTTTTTAAATTCCTTTCCCCCCCCATCATTTTGCTCTCCCCTCTCATCTATGATTCAGTGTTTCTGCTTCACCGGTTCTAATGATCTTGGTGTGATCAAGGAGAAGGTGCGGACACTATTTGCAGAGTCGCCTCTTCTCCTTCCTCCTGCAGGACCAGCAGTTTGTCCCCCAATTCTTTTTGTCCCATCCTGTGTACTTTCAGGGCAAAGGTGATTGCCAGGCTTGCCGCTGGTAATTCTGGCAATACGCTTGTGCCGAGGGCTGTATATGGTAGCTGTGCGATCTGCCACCAGGGTCTTCACTGGAGGTTGCCTTTCAAGGAAGCTCTTGGGCTGTATATGGCCACGACTGGTCTTACATCTAAGGTGTCTTCCCTGTCGTCGGTCTCCCTTCCATTGGTAGCCGACACTCCCAGTGAAGCAAGTCAAAGATTAAGACATGGAGGCTATCTTTTTTTTTTTTTTTTTTAATACAGGACCTTATGGTTCCGGCTCCTTTTCCATTCTGGGGAGCGTCAGTCCGGTTCCTATTCCACCGGCAAGTCATAAAATATTACAAGTACTCACTCACGCTCCTCCCCCTCATGGTGTGGAGGCCCAAAGGACAGCATTGACTACTTCCCGCAGGAAGGATGTACTGCCCTTCACCCCTGCCTAAGTTAGCCTGTTCTTAACCTGTATTTGGTGCTAAAACCCTAAACCCTCTTTTAATGCCTCTTTGCCTTTAGCCTGTCCTTGGCGGATGTTTCTATACCATAGCTGTTGATTACACCTGTTGTGGTTGCTGGGGCTGGTCAAGGTTCCAGGTATCGTTTGAAAATGGGGAGGGGTCTGTTTGAACTCCGGTGAAGGCTTTCTTAGTAGGGTAGGTGTTGAGGCTTGGGGGGTGGCTGGGC